GGTCGAGGGGTCGGTGTTTCCTCATGCTGACGCCTCTCTGATGTGCGGTTGCCTTCAGGGAACTCCGCCCTGTACCTCTTCGAGTGCTACGACACCCGGACAGAGAGCTGGCACAACAAGCCCAGCATGCTGATGCCGCGCTGCAGCCACGGCATGGTGGAGGCCAACGGGCTGATCTACGTCTGCGGCGGCAGCCTGGGCAACAACGTTTCGGGCCGCGTGCTCAACTCCTGCGAGGTCTACGACCCCTCCACCGAGACGTGAGTGTCCGCGCCCGCGGCTGCTGGAGTGCTGGGGGAGCTGGCTCCGAAACGGGGCGACGAGGCCCTGGCGCCCCTCGATTCGCGCGCCCGCCGCCTTTCCCATCTGACCTCCGAGGCATGGCCGTGTGATCCGACCTTGACTTGGGGGCGGCCCGTTCAATCGGTGCATGATGGAATACAAAGTGGAAAACAGCCGTTTTAAGTACTCGGGTTATGGTGAATACAAATTTTGCAGTTCTCCCACCACCAGAATGTCCCTTTTCTGAACGCTCAAGAGCTCATGGGACTTCGGCTTCCATTTGTAAACCTTGTGTGTTACTTGGCAACAGATCCGTCTAGTGGTGGTCAGATGCAAGTGCATATCTCACCCTCTCATAGCAGGTGTGTCTGTAATCTCGGGTTCGGGCAGCAGTTCTCCACGTTGACTGTTAACCGTTGGGTTGAATTGCCTTTCAGATGGACAGAACTGTGCCCAATGATCGAGGCCAGGAAAAACCACGGCTTAGTCTTCGTCAATGAGAAGATCTATGCTGTTGGAGGGCAGAATGGAATGGGTATGTCATGAAGTTATCTTGGATTTTTAAAAAATGTTTCACTGTCTTAATAGCAAGACTATGTCCTAACTGTACTGTTTAACATTTTTCAAGTGGTGACAGTGCAAAAGTTTGTACACGGTTGTAGCTGTATCTTGAGAGAAGCTTTATTAGCAAATGCACTTTTTCATCTGTAGAGATTGTGTTTAATCAGCTTGTAGAAGTATTGTACTTAAGTTACTGTAGTGGTGTTTAGAGATTTGAGTTTCTCAATTCCCAGGAAACAGACTGTATGAGCCAAAGGTTAAAAAAGCAGAGCTGCAAAAAAACATTAAAATACAACAGGCCAGTGATCAAAACTGAATTCTGAATTCTGAATTGCCTAGCTTTTGTAGAGGAGGAGGAGGAGAAACGGGGAGTTTTCAAACCAAACCCTTATCTGACCAGTCCAGTCCTCAGATCCCTTGCCGAGACCCTGTGGAGTTCCACAGGCTCCTGGAATTCCATAACTGGGCTGGGAAATTCCTTAAAACGAAAGCAAAAGGCAGACGTTTTGTTTCTTAGGAACAAGTAAAGGTTTATTCCAAAAAAGACTACTTGAACCATTTTGTTTCTTAGGAAGGACTGGTGTCTGCAAATGTAATCGGGTGAATTGCTTGTAAAATTTTTATTTTATTTGAATCATTTGGAAGGCATCTCATCCAGACACGCTTCATATACTTTTGAAGATGGTTCTGGTTTCCTGCGATTCTTTATTCTTGACTATCCTTTTAAGATTTTCGGGGTCCCGTCACGGGCGTGTGCTGAGGGGGTCAGTCCCCCGGCAGGCCCCTGGAGAGAGTGCTGGCGGGGCGGCAGCGCGCTCCTGTACGTCCGTCTGACGGTCTGTTGCTGCTGTGCTTGCAGGGGGCCTGGATTCGGTGGAGTATTACGACATCGGCAGTAACGAGTGGAAGATGGTGTCCCCGATGCCGTGGAAGGGGGTGACGGTCAAGTGTGCCGCCGTGGGCTCCATCATCTACGTCCTGGCCGGCTTCCAGGGAGTGGGGCGGCTGGGGCACATCCTGGAGTACTACACGGAGACGGACAAGTGGGTGGCCTGCAGCAAGGTGCGGGCCTTCCCCGTGACCAGCTGCCTGATCTGCGTGGTGGACACGTGCGGCGCCAACGAGGACACGCACGAGACGTGACCCGGGGGCGTGGCGACGACAGCGCGCGGGGTCTGCGCCCCGCCGGGGCGGCCTTCGTCGCGCTTGGCGCCGGCGCCCGTTTTAGGTTTCTCTCCCGTTTGGAAAGGATCTCCTCCCGGTAAAACGGGGTCTCTATTGTAAGCCCCCAGCCTCAGAAGGATGGGCGTAGTAAATGTGTTCCCATCGCGGCTTAGAGCCAAGAAGTAGATTTATTTTTTATTGTTCCTAAATTGTCCCGAGAGGCGGTCTGCCATCCTGGGAAATGAAGACTGAAGCGCTGGAAGCTGGCAGGCAGCAGCTGGACATCCCGTACAGGAGTGCGTTATGGCTCGGGAAGAGCTCGCCGTGTCCGGGTGTCCCCCGGAAGCTGCCGGCCAGCCCCTGCACGGCGCAGGTCACAGTTGGCCGAGGTCACTGGCTCGTTTCGCCCCCCTGCGGCTTGCGAGGCCTCTCCGTGCTCACGGCTGGGTGTGAGACCCCCTGATGAACTCCAGAGAGCTGCTGTTTGACCCCTTGACCAGATCTGAAAGTGTTTGTCCAGATATTTTCAGAGGTGCAGAAGGTTTCGAAGTCCTGTTGTCGGCCCTCCCGAGTTTTGTTGTTAGCGGTTTGTAATTCTGTGCGCTGATGGCACCGCTGTTTAAGTTGTAGTTGTGCTCCATCTTGCTGGCCCATGTGGCAGTGCTGTCTCCCTCACCATTGGCTGCTGCCACGGGCTCACAACTTGTTCTTGCTGTACAGGGGGACATCTTGTGGTTAAAGTGTGCAAGTTACTGCTAAAGACTCCAGATCTCAATAAGGCAAGACTGTAATGACTTTTGAAAAAATTATTTCATCACCGTTTGACCTTTTTGCTCAAATTTCTGTATTAGTCGAAATGTCAGTACCTTTGTTCTCAAAATACATCTGGAGAGGCGATCGCACGTGATCTCTGCTAGGAAGAGCATGAACTCCAGTCTCTGTGACCGGGGCCGAGTCTGCCAGAGGCTTGTTGTAGCGTGGGCTCCGGCGCCAGCAGTCATGGAAATAAACGAGTTAAAGGCGGAGACACTGGATGAGCCACTGAAAAAGGATAAATGGGATTTTAAACCATTTCAGTTTTTTTTTTTAGAAAGTCGCTGCGTTACAAAATTAAAAACCATTGCACATTATTAAATGGGAAAGATGATTACCAGGGTGGATCGGTGGAGGTGCTCACTTCAGACGCAGCTGGGGCTCTGTCCAGCGGTCAGGGGCTTGAGCCGGGGTCACTAGATCGGCTGGGCAGCAGCAGCCCAGCAGGGGATTTCTCCGGAGGCTGCAGAGAGTTCACGGAGCACAGCTGAGGTTGGGGGATGGACTGGGAGTCCATCTGCGAAGAGTGTCGGGGCGGGGACACGTACTGGCCCTCCAGTTGGTACCGGCCCAGTCCCTGCACTGGTGCTGGTTCCCTGCAGCTTGTAGTGTCTCTGCAGATGAATCACAGGTGAGAAGAGCTTGTCTGCCTCTCCCTATTCTCCAGTGCAGTCTGTCCCGTACATAACACACCTGCTGGCTCCCACACTGGGCCAGTATGTGGTGAAGGCAGCTCTGTTTTATTTAAAAAGAGGACAGTGGTTCATGCAGGTTTTCAAACAGGGGCCTGCGGGGGTGGCACTGTCCCTTAGTCACTTTACAGAGGGACTTTGGTCAAAACAGAGATCAGGGAACACCAGTCCATTAAGTGCAAACAGTTATCATATTATTTGTAATTTTAATTATGAAGTACAGAAAAGTACCAATATTCAGGTCAATTTTATTATATAAAAGGAAAATGGAATGTTTTAGCAGTGTATTGTAAGAATGTCATGCCATTAATGGAATACAAATGTACTTTTTGTGTTGTTGGTATAATGCATTATGGAAAGTGTATCCAAATGTTGAAAAATGTGAGAAATTCTTATTAAAGATTATCAACTGTTCAATAAACGTGTTTTGTAAGTTCTACATCACTAGAACTTTAAACCCTGCGACAGTAACTACTTTGTTCAGAAAAGAGGATAAACCCCACAATTTCATTTTATTTTTTAAATTGCATCCGCTTGGTTTTTTCAGGCGTCTGACTTGTTGGTTATGGGCAGTCAAAATTGCACTTAAACCCACATAGATGAAGACCAGAGACAATCCATATGGCAGTATCAGTGAAATACAAAATATAATACATAATACACACTTGTAAATGATTAGCAATTTTTTAATCAAGTTTGTCATAAGGCATGCACAACGAAGAGAATACCTACACCACTGCTTGTAACCCGTGAAGAGTGTACAACCCTGACACGATGTACTAATACCTACACAAGATGGCGCCGGTGAGCTACAAAACTACAGCGACCGATTGTGATGTCATTGACCTGCGACGGTAAATGTAATGACTTCCGCCTTTTCTGTTTCCTTGGTATCGGCGTTTCTCAAGATTCGTAGCTGTTGTTTTTCTTCAACGCGGAGAAGAGCGGCAGGCCATTTCGCTGACAGCCAGGCTGCGTTTTGAAATCCTGCCCGGAGCAGGGCTCTTCTTGAGCAGCTTGTACCTGCGTGCGGCCTCCCCGGTGTGCGCTGCGCCGGGATGACGGTGTGCAGTTTCTTCCTGCAGGGCCGGTGTCGGTACGGAGAGAGGTGCTGGAATGAGCACCCCAGCCGGGATGGAGGCGGCCATCACAGCCGGCCGCAGGGCAACCGCGGAGCCGGAGGTACGAGCTGTTTCGTGGGCCAGGTACCTACTGGACCTGCGACTTCGCCACCTCGCACGTCTGAACACCATCTCACGACGCTAGGAATCCCTGGCTAAAACCATCCGTTGCTAAATCCCCTGTTTTGGAAATTATTAACATGCAAGTTCTTCAGTAACTTGACATCTACTTTTTACCTTCTTAAATCTGCCCTTAAGTGCTTGTTTTAATATTTGTTTTTTTTTTAAAATAGAACGTATTCGACCATATGCTGGATGTGCATTCGGTCTCGGCTGTCATTAAAACTAACGAAGGGGCATCAGTTTGTCGCAGTTCCGTGACCCTGAGAGCCTCTGCACTCGCCTCACCCTGACCGCTCGCCCTCAGAAACAGGCGTAATTATTAACTCAATTAGCCGTCGAGCCTGGTGTTCAGTTTCATCGTAACCTCGGTTTACACACAGCCTGCCTTTCCGCCTCTCTGTCCGGCTCCTCGCAGCGGGAGGACAGCTCTGGAGTGACCTCGGCTGTCTTTTCTTCCTCGTTTGCCAGGGTTTGGGAACAGAGTCTGGGTCAACCCCTCGCAGAGGTCATCTGGGTCGGACTACATCCAGCCCTCCTCCTTCTCCCGGCCGGAGGACTGGGGGCGAGGCGGCCGAGAGGAGGGCCGGAGCCGGTTTGGGGCGCCCTCGGGGTCCGGACGCCCGGAGGAGAGCAAGGGTTTCTCTGGCACGGGGAGCTCCAGCTTCAGCTTCTCCGCGGGCAGCAGGTTCTCGGCCCTGAGCTCCCAGCCGGACTTCGACGGGGGTGGCCCGGAGGACAGCCCGGAGAAACAGCTGGAGGTCTGCCTGTCAGTATCCGTCATCCACGGCCCGCCGAGATCACTCCCATATCTGCGTGCTCTGGGCAGTTCAGAGAGAGTTCTGTCCAGCTGTCATTCCACTCCGCTGGGAGTCCGCTGCGTTTCCATAAAGGTGTATTAAGGACTCGGCTAGTCTTGTATCCAAACGGAGCCCCCAAGCTCTTCCAATGGGATTTCTAGTCAGACCTGTGCAGTTTGCATAACTGTTGTCTGTGATGTGCGCCGCAAGCCTTTTTCCTCTCTCTGCTCCTGCAATAACGTGCAGCTCAGAGCTGACGGCCTTGCTCCTCTCTGCCCCAGGGAGACCATCAGGAGGGACATGGAGGTGTGGGAGAGCTCTGGCCAGTGGATCTTCTCTTGTTACTCCGTCCTCAAGGCCTCTATTTCAGGTGACAGCCTTATGATACTCCAGCGTTCGCTTATCATTTCAATTTAGTCTAAAAAAAGAACTTTTTGGCTTAGATTTAGCCTTCAATTCTAGCAGTTGCTTTGAGCAGATTGTGTTCAGGACTATGCAGGTACTGTCACCATGTAGGGGAACAAGTAATAGGTTTATTCCATGCTGAAAAAAAGAAGAAAGAGAACACAACGTTTCGGCCGTGGAGCCTTCTTCAGGTGTCACACAGGTGTCTTCTTTTTTTCAGCATGGAATAAACCTATTACTTGTTCCTTTGCAGCCTACGCATGCTGACGCAGCTACCCACCTGAACTACTGTCACCATGTGCCTGGCTGCAAGATACATCAAACCCAGACTCACCTGTGAATCTTTGTTGTCCAGGAAGGGCATATGAAAAGGATTGGTAGATAGGTGTTGTGTTTGATCCCTGTGTGGGAACAAACTGACACACACAAACCGCACACGAAAGCTGTATTCATGGTTTAACCAGACACTTCAACAGTGGAGCAGAAACTGGCTGGCTGCAGGGAGCTTCTGTAGCGCCCTCTTGTGGCCTGGTTACCCCATCATTTCCTCACATCCAAGTGAAAAGTTTACCATTCTCCTAGCACTTCCAGAAAGAGTTGTTAAGAAATAGGAAGCTATTAAAAAGACTGCATGCTGCTTTGGAAAGAGGTGATGCTTGTGCTGTATTTGGATTGATTATTGTGGTAAGAGTTCCCATTTAGAAACACTACTTGTGGAAGCAAGAGGCAGGAGTGCCTTGTATACGAGTCAGACTCCAGTCCTCCTCTCTCAGGTCTCTAGTAGAGCTTGAAGGAAGCTAGAGCCCCTTCTCCTCTCGCTGGTGAAGTGTCTTCCTGAGACAGCGAAGAGAATGTGTTCGTTTAGATTTTTCTGTGCATTGTTTGTTTTGGCTCACCCAATTAGTGAACGGGCCAGCACTTTGCTTAATCATGATTCTTGTGGGTCTGACGCTCGTGCCTCTCGGCAGAGGGGGCCCCGTGACGGAGAGAGAGTCGGGGTGTCGCGTGTCCACCGGCCATACATGCTGGCCAGCTGTGGGCTGTCCTTGAGCGGGTGCTGGGAGTGTTGGAGCTGGCGGCAGCGGGCAGAGTCTCTCCTCCTGTGGCGCTGGTGCTGTTCCATCTGCCCCATCTTGGGCTCTTATGAATATAAACATTTCTGTTTTTTTTTTTAATGTTTTATATTGCTGTTATCAGTACCCGATTCTGCAGAGCCTACAGTCTAGTTCGTATGGGAGTGCCTGTCCTGAAGGATTTAGAAGTGGTCTCTCTGTTGATTGATTGCAGGCTTTCCTGAGATCTCTCCAGAAGAGCTGAGACTTGAGTACTACAATGGAAAAGAAGGAGGAAATCTGCAGAACTACGTGAGAATGCCCTTTCTGTTTTAAGTCTTGAAAAACACAGTGATGCTTTCTGAGTGACCTGACCTACACTGCCGAATTCCCCTCCTTGTGATCTTTATTACCAGCCAGTGGGCTTGCCATGTGACAGCTTGTGTAATTCATTATTCTGAAGGCATGAGTTATTTGTTTGTGAAGTCAGTCTTTTTTCTTTTGCGCAGTGCTAAAAAACTTTATGCTTCTGAGTTCACAAAAAGACTGCAGGCTATAACAGCAGTGTTACCATCTTGTAGCCTGGTCTTATTCAGCTTCTGAGGTCTGACAAGGGTGAGGTATGAAGAATCTTCCAAGAACACCAGGCAGTCTTCCCTCTGAACCACGGGTGCTCACCTGGCGCCTCAGTGTGATGACCGGGGAACATTGTGCTGTAGGAGAGGTGCTGTCCTTTAGGCGAGAATTTAAACTGAGGCCCTGAATAATTGTGGTCATTAAAGATCCCATGGACCAATTCGTAAGACAAAGGGTAAAACCTCTTAGGCCTGAATTCCAGTCCAGTCCAGGCATAATCTGGCCTCCTAAATTTTCTCCTTGGTGAAATTGTGGAAGTAACTTCTGGCTTCTCCCCTTTATCTGCTGTGTATTGAGGCTGCTGGCACACAATGGGGGCTGCACTCTCCGGTGTGAATGAAGCAGATTCCCTCTAGTGTATGAAGCTGTTTGGGATCCTGTGGGTAGAAAGACACTGTGCAAATGCAAGGAAATCTAATTATGCCCCAAATCTCCATGCGTGTGGTTTTGCTTTCCAGATGAGCTCCGTGACACAGTTGGTGAATCAGTGGAAGAGCAGGCTGCTTGAGTTAAAGACGCAGAACTCGGTCACACGAGTGGCTTTGGTAAGCTCTTACCTGTGAAGCGAGTGGGCAAACCGCTCACATACAGAATCACTTTTTCAGGAATAGGTCGTGTTCGAGTGTCATTTCCTATAGGAAAGACACGACACGTACTGTTCGATAGGATCCGCAATGAGTTGCTGAACAAAGTTGAGAGCCGCACAAATCAAAATCCTTGTCCAAGCAATAAACATAAGGGACAGAAATGTGCATTTTTCACTTAACAGCAAGAGTGAAGAAAAAACATGTTCATAGCTATGAACAGCACTAGCATGTTGAAAAGGGCTAGAAACATTTATTTCCAGCTTTTGAGGATATGATGCATTTTATCAACACTAAATTAATCTTCCTAAATTCCTTTGAAAATGCATGAAAACAAACGTCAGTTTTTGCCAGGTGTCGGGTTCTGTTGCATTGCCTGTTCATGCAATCTGTTTGGATGCTGCACGTGTGGAATGAGCTCCCGGTGGATCGTTCAGGGGAGAGCTGGAGAGTCTGAGTTTGTTTTGGCGTCCAGAGGGTTAGTGAGTGATACACTGCTGTGGATCTCCTGAGTCCTCATTTGAGAAGAGGCAGAGATGGGCAAGACAAATGTTGTTAGTGGTTTTATGATCTTCACTAACACATCAGTCTCCTGACATACAAGTGTGAAAAAAACCCACCAGTTTTCCAGTTTGGCCTTCGAGGGCTTTGCTGTACTCCAGTCTGTTTTAAAGCCAGCTGTCATTCCTGTCTGTTCCCACCGTGAAGCAATATCTCCCTGTTTCTGTAGGTAGCAGAACTGAAGAACCCCAGCCCTAAAGCCCCATCTGTGCAGTTCGGTGCTCCACAGACATCAGCTTTTACATCAGGGGGTAAGGTGACACCGTGAGGTTTTGTCCGTCCGATCTTTCTGTAATCCTTTCAGTTTCGGAGCTACAGTAACTAACATGCAGTGTGCGGGGGATGTTTAACGGGATCCATCTCTAGTCCCTGCTGCCTTGAAGTGAGCGCCGCCCGGTGCCGTGGAGAGTGACCGTGAAGCGTGTTTCCCGTGTGCAGGTTTCGGTGCCACTGGCTCGGCGTGCAGCAGCGGGTTCGGCAGTGTGGATCCAGCGGGGGGCTCCACGGGCTCCACGGGCTCCACGGGCTTCGGGAGCGCGGCAGCCGGCTTCGGCGCCCCTGCGGCCCCTTCGTCTGCCGCCTCCTTCTCCTTCGCGCTCCCTACAGCGGGAAACGAGCTGCCCCCGGGGTTCAGTGCCCCTTCGGGGTTCAGTGCCCCTTCGGGGTTCAGTGCCCCCTCCGGGTTCGGCTCTTCGAGCTTCGGTGGCTCTTCCTCCTCCTCCTCCTCCTCCTCCTCCGCGGCGGCCGGCAGCTCCGGGGTCGCGGGGAGCGGCGTGGGCGCGGGCGCGGGCGGGGCCCAGCCGGCCGCGGGACAGCTCTTCTCCCCGCAGAGCGAGCTGACCGCGGAGGAGATGAAGGAGTTTGCAGCCAGGAGGTTCACCCTGGGCAAGATCCCTCTCAGGCCTCCTCCCGCGGAGCTGCTGGCCGTCTAGGACGCTGCCGCCTCGTGCCTGGCCTGGCTGGGGGCTCCGTCCTCATGTGTTCACATCATTTCTTTTTTAGAAAGCCAATCTTCTGCTTCAATCCACTACATTAGTACAATTGCACGTGGGACTCTATACACCAGTGTTGTACTAGTGGACAAATGTAAAATTTTATACAATTTAAATAAAACTCTTTTTTAATGCACACATTTTCCTGCCTTGTGTGCCATACATCAATGCCTACATTTCCATCTCTAGACTCCATCCATTTCCTTGGAGGTTGTCAACATTTTGGTAAACATTGATACCCATTACATTTGATGAAAAAATTAGTTCACTGATATTTGTGCCTCTTGCACACAGTTGAAACAGCCTCAAAAACCTCCACTGAAAAAACTGAACAGTCCTGTGGTCAAATACAAAATGATGACTGGGATTCTAAAACTAGAAATACAGCAAAATATGTGCATAGTAATATATTTTGTTTCATAGTCATTTAGGATAGTTAAACCAATGCACTACAGATATTAAGTCAGTCATGGTCTATAACTTCTCAAGCCCTTATTCCGTAAAATGCTGGCATCTCCAAAGGACTCATCACTAAATGGAAAGGCATGTACCAGTGTTAAAACATTTATCCTTTAGATTAACTCGTTGCTTTAGGAGGCAAAAATATTAGCTTTTCTATTGACATTTGGAATGATATTTGTGTTTTCGAAAGTGAACGGTTTTTAAAGACATTTTCTGCATTTCATGTAATCACGTTAAGAAGCGCATAATTGTTTTGCTTTCTACATTCCCTTCTTGACCATGTGGATGACTGACTGGAGGTCACATGATCATTGAAAGAAGTTGCCCGCCGCTGCCAAGCATAGGCCAAATAATCTAATTAAGGGGACGTCCTTATGATTTTTTTTTCCTGTTCATTTGCGTAGTTCCTCAGTCACAATTCATTAGCTAATATTTCAGATTGGACAGGGCTTGCACTTTAGATTTCAGATTTTAAGATCACTTTATCAGCCATATACGATTTCTTGCATTAGGAATTTGTCTTTCTGCAGACCCCAGGTTGCTCTCCATGAGACACACAGACGGGGAGAGAAGTCTGGGGTCAGATGTTTATCCAGCACCCCTGGAGCAGTTGGGGTGAAGGGCCTTGCTCAGGGGCCCAACGGAGTAGGATTCCTCTGCCGGCCACGGGATACGAACCGGCAACCTTCCAGCCACAGGCACAGATCCTTAGTCACAGGGCCACCACACTGTCCCGTGAGCGTATCATGAGCACTGAAGACTCAACCATGAAATGGCGCCTGTGTCTATTGTGAGGATGAGCATATGGAACTGGTATCTTGGGCACAGGCAGAAGGCCTTAGCGGTGGGTACTGTATATGAAACCAAAATTAGAATTTTAAAACTGGCAGGAGCTCAACAAGTGAGAGTGGTAATGAGCTCCTTCCAGTGTGGCCGAAGAATCCCACTGTGGTACGAGGACCTCGCTGCCGCTCTGTTCCCATCAAGGGTGCACACGACACCTTCCTCCTCTAGGACTGCCTTGCTGTGCAGTTCTCTGCACTGACTCTTCTTGTGCAAACTAAGACACTTCAGCTTTTTCTCCAGATCCATGCAAATCGCCCCCTGCTCTCTGATAAAATGTTCATACATAACTGTTTTGGTAAAAAAAAGTAAAATAAAAACGCTATCACACATCTGGTAGCTTAGCTAACTGACTCACACAGGCCTGATGCAGACCTTTAGGGAGAAAGTTGGTGTATATTTACCTTACACACAAAAGGATTAAGGGAGTTTTACTCAATGTAATGTGGCAGAGCTCAAATTTGCACTAGCAGCTTTGAACACTTATTTTATCCCCTGAAACCTCTGTGCTCGGAGTAGCACTATGAGGGCAGAGTGTCTCCTGCCAGGCACTGGGGACCATGAAGTTGGAATGTCATAGTGCTGCCAACACTATGGCCATCCGGAAACCACAGAGCACAGAATCTGTCAATTCTTTTTTAACATCACCTGGGTTAGGGAGCAGTGTCATGGTGGCTAGCACCACTGCCAGGCACAGCCTGGGTCCTGGGTTCGATGTTGGGCTGGGACTCCTGCTGTGTGACCTTTGAGTTTTAGCTGTGGGCTTCTGGGCCTGCAAGACAGGCCACAGACAGATGCCACAGACAGATGACCAACATCTGTCTCATCTGGAGTAACTAAGTGATCTGATTATCTGTTTCTTTAAAAAAAACAGGGTGTGCAAAAGAATGCACATTTGTTTTTCCTGTAGACACGTTAAAACCACACATGGCTGCAAAGGTTGTTACTAATATTGTCTCTGGTTTTCTGTTAGCCAATAGGAGAGTTGCAGGGTGAATGAGCTTTCTGTGCTGAAATGAAAGAGTGTGACACACTATATTGCAGACTGTGACACAGAGACAATGCAGGGTTTGGGCTTCAACAACATGGCTGGGTAACCTGTTCCATACTCCCACAACCCTTTGTGTAAAGACATACCTCCTGATATAAGCTGTGGTTGTACTATAATTACTCGTAGTTCGCCTGTTTTGTTATGACTGGTAAAGTTTTAAAAATTAACTTTTAAAAAACGCACAAATATGATTTTTTTCCGTTTGTGAAAAAGAAAGGGGCGAAAGTTATGATTCACAGACACGAGTTGCGAGTCGGTTAACTGCAAGTCCCCTAATAAGCACTCATCTGTGTCTCATTATGAACGTCACATGAACTGTCCTGGATCTATTAAATTAAGAGGGGAGGAAAAGTGAAATCGGAACCTGTGGAGTTCACTCGGAGGAGGCTGTGGGGAGCGCTGGGTCAGTGAAAGTCCGGTCCTCTGCGTTGGTTCTGGCTGAAACCCGACATGGAACCTCTCCGCCTGTCCCTCTGCTTGGTCTCTGCGCTGTTGGTTTCAGGAGCAAATGGCAGAAAGAGTAAGTCAACCCACATAATTTTGTTTTCTTTCGAAACATTTTTGTTCTATCATAGAGGAAAAAGAAAATATTGTCTTGTGACAGTTCGAACAGATGAACCTTTAGAGATTCTAAGGTTTCTGTAACAATGCAAAAGTGGCTTCTTTCCCATTTGAAGTGTACCGGGGCACAGTGAGATTCGTCACTATTTTAAACGTAACTTTGAAATGAACGGGACATAGTTTTTGATGGCGCACCTTAAAGCCCAAGTGAAAAAGAGCGGACGGAGGTGAAGGTGTGCTAATCTCCCGGATGCCAGGTCCAGTTCTGGTCTAGTGGGCCTTCTGTATGGAGTTTGTACAGTCTCGATGGTGCGGGTGTGTGGGATTTTCGCTCCTTGTACTCTTGTTTCCTCCTGAACTCCAGGTGAATAGGTCTTTTTAAAAATGCCCTCCGTATGATCGCCCTGTTCTGTATCTACCGATCCAGCCTGTACTTGACTCTGCGAGCCTGCACTGAGGGGTTGTTGAAAGTGGTAATTGGATGTATCTGCTACAAACAGTTTCCATCAGTTTGTTGGAGCCGATGTGTACCGGCTACTGCAGTTTTACATCAGACCGGGTGCGTTTGAAGAGCTCCTACCCTTTATCGCTTATTTCCACGATTTATAATAATAATAATTGCTAACACTCATACAGTATAGCGGTGAGGATGTGTTTAGAACTACACCGAGGTCTGGCTCACTTGCAAAAGTAATTTACCATGAAGTGTTCGACTACGTTTTTTTAATTCTGTATGCTAAAACCGGCAGAGGTCACGGCTAGCCAGACGAAAATGAGCCGCTCCAGGCACACCCTGTAAGTCTGGTTAACACTTTGATACATTTTTTTTAATTTTCTGGGTGTTCAGCGATCTCCGACATCTGATTTTTTTTTTGACACGTCGCACGACTCCGTACGCGGACGACGTGCCGAAGATGAGGAAGCGACGGTCGCGAATCTGTCGGCAGGGAACTGAGGAGAGACGCAGCCTCCCTGCCTGCTCCCTGGCCTGACGAGTGTGGTTCCTCTCTCTGCTTGCTCTCCTCCGCTGGCATGACAAGCCCCCACCACCCCAATAACACAATTATAATTCTAACCGGAGACAAGGAGTGGCGGTCAGGGGGTCAGGGGCATACCCAGAGTGTACCTGTCCCTACAGTATGTCAGGACACTGGACACTCCTCCAGACCGACCAGCAGTGTGCCCCCTGGCGCCGGACAGGACAGCAGCTCTCACCCCTGCGGCCTGGCCCCCGACCCAGGTGTCTGCTCGAATCCTCTGCCTCTCCGCCTCTCCAGAGGAACAAGCGCTCTCTCTCTCTGTGGAGGGAGGGTGTAGAGCTGGTGTTCTCTCTGTCTCCCCAAGGGGTTCGTGACATGGTGCCCCTCGGTTCTCAGACGGGGTCTGTGCAGTATCCCAAGCTGGAGGGCTGGTCCCCGGACACCAACTCCTGGAACGAAAAACTCTACCCGGGTTTCAAGCAAGCGGACCTCCGGAGAGGAAGAGGTAAAGCTGTCCCTCTGGCGGAGCTGAGCTCCGGTCAGCTGTCAGCTCTAAGTGATTACCTTTAACACCGGCCCCGCTGTTC